CAGACACCACCTATAAAAGTAACTTTGAGTGAAGCAATAAAAAGAGTGAAAAGGGAAGCCCACATCCTGATCACATCTACCTGGAGGCAATCAGAAAACATAAAAAATACCAAAACACATACTCAATTAAGTACTAAGGCCACCGATAAACACTAAACATGTCCAAGAAACATAAGCAGATGATCATGTCAGCACATGTCCAGAAACAAGATATATGTCTGAGATAAATGACTTAACGTAGACCTGGACTAATTCTGGAAAGAGGGCAGGCCTTGGAAATACCTGAGAAGGAATTCAGAAAAATTATTATACAATGTTTCAAAACATGTTACAATGGAGTTGAGAAAAATAAGGAAGAAGTCAGAAAAGTGCTAGAGGAGGAAATAAGAAAGATACAGCATTGGAAACAATTAAAAACCTACAGAGAGAGGTCCAAGGAATCAATAATAGAAAATCAGAAAGAGACAATTCACATAAAGGGCAAAGGAGTAGAATAGAAGAGATGGAAGGCAGAACTAGAAAGATGGAAGACAAATCTCTCAATACCACTAAGATAGAAGAGCAAACAGAAAAAAGGATGAATGAATCTGAAGAAGGTCTAAGAGTCATGTTGGACAACATGAAGAGGAATAACTTAAAAATGATCACCATTCCAGAACAGGAAGAACCACACACATCCACAGAGGAAATAGTTGAAGAACTGCTGGAAGAATTTCACTAGCATCCTGAAAAGTGAAAAGATAAACAATCAAGAAGCTCAACGAACCCCAGGAAGGATAGACCCCAAAAGAAAATCACAGAGACATATCATAATCAAGTTCTCCAAAATCAATGATAATAAGATACTACTAAAAGCAGCTAGGGAAAAGAGAAATGTTACACACAGAAGCAAGCAAGTCAGATTAAGCTCGGATTTCTCAGCAGAAACCATACAGACAAGAAGGCAATAGGGAGACATATATAAAACCCTGAAGAAGAAGAAAAGAAAAAAAAAACTGCCAACCAAGAATCCTTTATCCAACAAAGCTATCAATTAAATATGATGGCATAATCAAAACATTCCAAGATAAACAGAAGCTAAGGGATT